TACACCATGCCTGATATGGACTGAATGAGCAAGTGACGTGCCTACACACATGCCTGATATAGACTGAATGAGCAAGTGACGTGCATACACACATGCCTGATATGGACCGAATGGGCAAGTGACGTACCTACACACATGCCTGATATGGACTGAATGAGCAAGTGACGTGCCTACACACATGCCTGATATAGACTGAATGAGCAAGTGACGTGCATACACACATAAATGATATGTATTGTCGAAGGTATCGTTACATCATACATACACACATGCCTGATATGTATTGTCAAAGGTATCGTTACATCATACATACACACATACCTGATATGTATTGTCAAAGGTATCGTACATAAATCTGGTAATCAGCGACGTTTTGCCCACTGTGAGACGGGAAAAGGGGACAGGTGTACGTGATATTAAAAAAAGAAGACAGGTGTATGTGGCAATAAAAAAGGGAACAGGTGTACTTGATATTAAAAAAGGCGACAGGTGTACGCGACAATAAAAAAGGGGACATGTGTACGTGATATTGATAGAGGGGACAGGTGTACGTGATATTAAAAAGGGGACAGATGTACGTGACAAAAAAAAAAGGAACAGTTGTACGTGATATTGAAAAAGGGGGCAGTTGTATGTGATATTAAAAAAGGGGACAGGTGTATGTGATATTAAAAAAGGAGACAGGTGTACGTGTTATTAAAAAAGGGGACAGGTGTACGTGATATTGAAAAAGGGGACAGGTGTACATGATATTAAAAAAGGGGACAGGTGTATGTGATATTAAAAAAGAGGACAGGTGTATGTGATATTAAAAAAAGGGGACAGGTGTACGTGATATTAAAAAAGGGGACAGGTGTACATGATATTAAAAAAGGGGACAGGCGTACGTGAAATTGAATACTGTTGTCTCCACACACTTCAGTACAAAGCAAAGATCGCCTCATGAAATGTTATATTTGTACTCGAGATGAAGATATTGTATCGGATATGACTACAAAGGGATGACGGCTTCATGATATGTTTTATATTTTGTACTTGAGATGAAAGAATCTATCGGATATGACTATAAAGGGATGACGGCTTCATGATATGTTATATTTTGTACTTGAGATGAAAGAATCTATCGGATATGACTATAAAGGGATGACGGCTTCATGGTATGTTATATGTTATATTTTGTACTTGAGATGAAGAGAATCTATCGGATATGACTATAAAGGATGACCGGCTCGACTATGAATCATGTGAGTGTTATATCCCCCCCCCCAAAACCCGGTTATTGTATCGACCAGAGAGGTATATACCAGATATGACATACTTGTCTCCGAAAAAAACAGACTGCCAACGCCCGCGACAAATACATAAAATTCCTTGAGTCGCGACAAATATATTTGGAATCGGGTTGGTATCTCAAATTATATTCCAATACGTTTTATATTTGTCTGCTAACACTTCCGTAACAGTTTTATATCACATATAAACAGATAAGTGTGGGATCGGGTTGGTATCTCTATCTCCCAAAACGGTTTATATTTGTCTGGTATAAAAACTTCCTTAACAAATTTATATCAGATGTAATAATATACATCTGCAGGCATGCGCGTATGCACACACGGAGACAAGTGTTATACGCAGACTTTACCAATGCAGTTTGCACTCTTTAACATCATGCATAAGTAACGCCACCCACATTGGCACACTAAGTGTTGCTCAAAGCACGTATTCGAGCACGTTATGTCTGATGTCTTAACATCAATGTTGATATACAAATTGCACAGGCACAAATGCGTCGGTGAAAATCAGCTACACATTAAATACCAGCCAGTACATATACTAACGTGTGACACTATGCATGCGTAAATGCGTATCAACGTTGTTCCACATCTATGTCCTGTCAAGGCTGCGGCATACAAACACGCATATATACATACATATACATATATATATATATATATATATACATATATATATATACATACATACACGCACAAATATATATATGTATATTCCTAGGATTGAATACTAACAATTTTATCTACATAATATGACCTAAACACACGATTAGCCAACATACTTATGCATATTTACACAAACGTAAAAACATATCGATACAAAAAGAAAACAATAAGAAAATAATGAAATTGGGACGCGGTATTATATGTATACTTATGCGTCACAAGTGTATACGTTAATTTTCATGGTATGTGAAAAAGGAGAGGACTGTAAGTGAATTTAGTAGCAATAAAGAAACGAGGATGTGATCATATTTGGTCTACAAATGCACTACGTATGTAAAATAAGTTCATATACACGCATGAATACGTAAAACAGAGACACTCGTACAAAGGGCCAAAAGAAAAAAGTATTCATGGAGCTGTATGTATACACATATATATACGTTCATACATATACGTATGAATATAGATAAAAATACATATATTCTGATTGACGATTCTAATACAATACTGAAGAACAAATATATATACCAACGTATTAAAAAACGGTTGCATATTTAGTTACAATAAATATAGGGATAACAGCATATACAAACAGAAAAACTTATGTATGGGTGTGTATTCGGGCATGTATATATGTTGTACATGCATAGGCAAAAAATATAAGTATGCATATGAATATATATATATACTTATATATGACTTATATATGAACTGGATGGGTAAGATTGAGATAAAAAGAATGCAACGAGTAAAAATACATACACAAACAAATATACATGCATACATATATACACGCATATATAATTGGATACATACATACACGTGTACAAACACACACACACACATAGATATATACATAGATACATAAATGTATAAATATATTAGATATATTAGATACATATACATACATACATACGTATAATATATATGTATATGTGTATGAATATACATGCATACCTATATATATATATATATATATATATATATATATTATTATTATGCGCATATATACATACATACACTACTACTATATAT